TGCGTCAAAAAACTGACTTGCGATTCAAATATTTATGTTATGAGAGTTCTAATTTCGTATTCCAGAAATGGCTATCATTCAAAGTACTCTGCCGTGTTAGTGAAATACAATTACGCTCACTCAAAAAATTCCATTACTGTCATTGGGATCTGATATAGATTAAACAAAAGCGTCACTTTTGAAACATTATTTTTTCAAAATTTGATGCATGATTTCACATATAAATTCGGATGTTTTTTTTACGATTTTGCTGCGTTTGCAGTCTGAAGCCGATTAAGTACATATAGGCTGCTGCATGACGAAGGCGCGATATCTTTGGGCGCGAACGAGGCTTTATTAGCTGTAGAGCGCATGAGGCGCAGGATTTATAACGGTGAGGTTATGCGCGAGTCGCGTTCGCGACTTCAATACTGCTTCTGCCCTTCGTCATACAGTAGACTTCAACTGCTTATTACCTCTCATACGCGACCGTACAAAATACTATAAGTGACTTAGGAAGTAGAAACTTCCCAAAAGCAGGATTTTTTTGATAATGGATTAAGAGCAGCTTGCACTGCACGTCTTTGACCGGCAAATTTTTGTCCGTCTATTGATTTTTCTATCAATGTAGTAGTCGAAAATGGAGACTTGAGGTTGGGAATCTGAAAACTGACATATTTGTATCGCAGGATTATAATAAAATCTAATAGAGTGTTGTAAGCAGTGCTCAGCACAGCTGGCATCGGCTCGAGCGGATATCGTTTTTAGGACAAAAAGCAGAGGGGATATCGTTGTAGCCGGAAAGACACAAAAATTGCAACATTTTCCTTAGTCGACGTTTCGTTTGCAAGGGTATACGTTTAAGGTTTAGGATTAAAGAGACTTGTACGAAATGTTCAAGATCAAAGGGGACTTCTTTTCGAAATTTTCCTGGTGCCAGCTCGTGCCGAGCCCTGGTTGTAAATGAGGGGATAGTAGTGGAAAGATAAGGTTTTTATGTAGTTTCGAGCGTAAACCAGTAATGGTGACTAAAGAGCCGGGCATACTTCACGCAATTTCAGTAGCGACGCGTTCCGGCAATTCGCCAGAAGTCTTCAGATGTAATACTAGTAAACTGCACATGCATGGTTTTGTATAACTTGTGTGGATTGAGGAAATGCCCTAGCTTCTGTACATTTGAAATGTGCTTACAGTGGACCATGGACAGTTGAAATATTGCCAAATCGCGTCGCCTGAAATCGCATGAAGTATGCCCGGCCCTTAAATGCGGTGGGTCGGCAGAATGAGACCCGTGGCAAAACAAGGTCATAGGGTAGGAGCCCCATAATGGAACTTATGGGCCAAAGTTCGATCTTTCTCTGCCACTTCTAACCCCGGAAATTTCAAAGCGAAAGCAGCGCTCATCTCTTGTCCTCTCCGAACCCGCCCACCCCATGGACGAGTTAACGCGAAACCCGTCATGGCGAAGACGCAGAGTCGTTGCGGGACCTCATGCTTATAGCATTGCGGCTTCGCGCTCTGACTGTGAAAGTGACTCGTCCATGGGGTGGGCGGGTTCGGAGAGGACAGGAGATGAGCGCTGCTTTCGCTTTGAAATTTCCGCGGTTAAAAGTGACAGAAAGGATCGAACTTTGGCCCATAGGTACCATTATGGGGGCTCCTACTCTGTGACCTTGTTTTGCCACGGGTCTCATTCTGCCGACCCACTGCCTTTAATGCAGATAATGAAGTGTTGAACTGATTGTGAGAAAAACGGGGAAAAAGGTTTCAGCATCTATGCGAAGTCTTTCGCAGTGCTTGTATGAAGTATGATCAATTCAAAAAAAAGCGCAACTCAACGCAGAAGGTGATGGAGACGCAACTTTTACCTTTTTGCTTGGATACGATAACATTACGGTAGATAAGCAGTTTACAGACACTAGGTACTTAATCGAATGCGCGTTTACTGCTACATGGCATTATATATGTTTCAAACTGAGGCAAAAACTCCAGCCTCGCATTCCCTCACCCTCGCCCTGCACAGTATTTCATGACATCAAAAATATGCTTGAGAAAGGATAAAAAGAAAAATGAAAACTACATCACTCTGAAATGCCTCCTATGAATAACGTGAGATCTGAATATCAGAAGTTTCTTTAGAAAGCTATTCAGGCATTAAGTGATGCGAAAAGTAACAAAGAACATGCATGATATCAAATGAGTAAAGTAGATTTTCTATTCGAGAAAAACATGCGTTAAGATTTTAAGAAGAAACTAGCGATGTATTTGACATCATGATGCGTCTAGTGAATGATAAACGGATACCTAAAGCAAGCATTTGTTGAAATTTTTATTAGTAAAAGTAGCAATCAATGACAGATTACTACAAGAAGATTACCTATCGGAAGAATTCTAGAATTATTGGCTATTTGGCACTCGAACCCTAGCTAATATGCAGGCTATTTCCTGGTCATTTGTCCTTTTTCTAAACCATAATAGCATAAAGGACATTTCCTTTCTAGATGCAATATTTCCTCCCTTCCGGCCGTCCCCACCCTCATCCTTTAGCATCAGCTTCAAGTCATCACATCCTCTAAAGCGAGGTTGAATTGCAATGTTGAAAGAGCTTCAAAGCGTAAATTTACATAAAACTGAAAAAATAATTCAAAAATGATCCATGAGTTCCAGTTGGTGTGCGCCAAAAAAGAAAAATCTGAAGAAATCATAGAAATCAAATTAGCTTCAGCAAGTGCTTAGGTGTCTGTTTGAGTGAAATGTCTGATCCTTATACTTCAGGCCAAAAATAAAAGTTCTTGAGTAGTTTATCTTCATCTAGGTATTTAGTGCGCACACATTTTTATGAATCTGAATGTCCACCACAGTGATATTATAGAAGTTTGAGACAACATACATAGATGAAAAAAGCTCAGTTTCGATATTTTTGAACGCAGTGATGCCTTTGGAGAATTCTGAGATGTAATGGTGGTTTGGGATATTCTTCCTATATAAATGGTAAGATACACACACTACAACTTTAGAATGCACTAAATAAACTCGAATGCTTGGCAGCTCAAAGAAAAATTGAGACGTTTACTCTCTCGATTCTGTCCTGCTTACCTCCTTAGGAGCCGGAAAATTGCAATCGTTTGTTTTCCACGGCCTCCTGCATGTAAATGAACCTTCCAAATACCCTCTAGCCACCCTATCCTCTCTATCTTCACTGCGGAAATGCAAAAACTTTTTAATCTGCTTAGGAGTTGTACTCGAATTTTTTTACGAGAACCAGAGATGATTGAAATTCAAGAAATCATATAAGGCAGCTGGCATTCTTAAGCAAATCACAATAAATACTAACGGAACTCAAATTTTCTCGTTTCATAAATTACGACATTGTGATAAATACTATATAAATGTTCTTTTACAACAAATTATCACAGACGTCCTGGATGAAAAATTATTAAAATCTTCAGCATCTTTAGTGATGAAATAAAAAATACCATTGCAATGTTTGTCTGCATCACCTTCGGTGGAATCAAATCACGGTAGTTTTTGCTTCAAGCTTTATTGAAGCGCATGGTTCCTCCACCTATTATATAATAAGTGAATCTATTGACTTCGAATATCAGCGTGTCTCATAATTTTTTACTGTTTTACTCTAAAAATGAGCTTTTCTCCAGAACTGGGGCACCTACAAAGGGTACAAATACATTATTGTATTTTCTTATGTATGAGCTTTATGATTACGAGTATGGGAGAAACTCAGGACATTTGGTGGCGGAGTTTGCATTTTACGCCAATAATTCTTTAATTTATTTCTAGACATGGAAAAAATGCGAAGAGTGTACAATTGAATGTTCAATGTGTCAAGCAGCATATGTTAGGATAGATGGGGAATTTTTTGGGTTTTTGGCGGAGATACGATTTTTGACATTCGTTAAAATTCGTTTTCGACTGCTATGATATTGCAGCTCAAAACTTCACGTGGAACACGATTTTGACAGACTTTTGATAACCATAACCATCTTGTAGAGCTTGCTTTGCTCTTTCAAATGATTTCAGACCGCATCAGTTGAAGGAAAGATACAAAAAGACGGCGGTTGTAGTAAAACGGTAAAAAATTATGAGAAACCCTAATACAAATGGATATAGCATTTCAGGACAATGTTTCTTGAGCAAAAAAGAAAAAGAATTCAACACATCTACGACAAGGCCGATTTTTTGATTACTGCCGCATTGGACCAGAGCCTTTTTCGCGTTGTCAAACTATTGACCCACCCGTGGGTCATATTTTCGAAATGGCAGAACACGTACGACCGTCCGGTGGGTCGTATTGTCGATAATGTGTTAATGAACATCTAGCATCTTCGTATTTAAGCGCTAAGAAATTTTGCTTTCGATCGGAGAGTTTTGATTTGTGCTGCCTTTCAAAAGAAATTCAAAAAATACAAGTTGTGTAGGCATCCGTTTAGTAGAATTTATGTTAGCTAAAAGTAGTCATAAAACCCAGCCGAAAATACAATTCAAAGTTACTCACTTTAGCGACAAATTCAAAAAAATAAAATTTTGAGTGGTTTTATCTAAGAAATTTGATTGCAGCGTCGTAAAAAAGATTATTAGTTTGAGCATTACCAAAACCGCTTTTCTTTTCCTTCACTATATAATTTATCAAATTCGGAGCAATATGTGCATTTTCTAGAATTTTTGTGGAAGGCTTATGTTCTAGCGTAATGTTTGTTTAAGAAAACATGGACGGATTTCACGGAATGTGATTATAGCGAGAGATTTCAGCTGCTTGAAGCGAGGTCAAAAAACCGAGAAGCTTACGCTCAGATGATTCGGATGAGAGAGAATGGCGAGAGTAGGCGTTATCGCCCTATTAATGCGAGAAAGCTGCGGATGAGATGCGAGCGCAGCGCGAATGAGATGAAGCCGGCCATATCGTGGTGGCGAATGCTCGGCTGTCGACACGCAGTTGTCAAGGAGATGCATTTGCATATTCAACAACCGGAGGCACAGAAACAAAGCAAGCCACGGGCACTCACTTTTTGGCAGCGTTTTGAAGTCCAAACAACGCTCGACTGGTCGTTGCTCGAGCACGGCTTTTGGATGCTTCGTTCGAACCGACACACGATAGATTGTCGACGGTTGTAGGCCTTGTAGTTGAACCTGAACAATTAGATGTTATTTTGTAGCGAAAAAGTTTGACATCTGATGAAAATAAGCAGAGTAGACATCCTGTTTTGTACAAATATAGAACGAAGCAAAATTAAATAAAAGCAAACAGAATACGAGGTAAGTGTGAACAGACGAATGAGATTCCGGATTCAATTTGCTTGTTGCTTGCTTCTTGACGCAAATAAGCTGCAATTGTTTTGCGGTTTGTTTTCCCACCTTGCAATTCATTATCTAATTTGATTCTGATGGAAAAAAACCCTTTCTGTCTTCATACAGTTTGTAAACTCATGACAACAAGCGGTTCTGGCTTGATAATGAAAAACAATTTTGGAGAAAAAAAGATTCTACTATGAATTTAGGCTGATCAAAGCTCTAACAGGGTACATGAGTCAGAAACCTTAAATTTTTTCAAGTTACAGGTGGTATTAAAGTCCATCCTCACAGGAAACAATGCGTCAGAATCGTTTATTTTATTAAATGAAGTATAGCTTAGCGAGCAGATTTTCGTGTTATGGTACCAGAACCCAACAGGCTTTAATATGCAAGATCATGAGATTAAAGAGTTTTTAAGGTTGAAAAATCAAGGTAATAACGTTTTTCTGGAATTCGTATCAACAAAGAATTGCTTTTAGTAAGTGTATGGAAATTCTGGTACTTCAAGACTTCAGCTTGTGCTCCTGCATCTTCCTTGTAATCATCATTCCCGGATATTCGAATTTCCCTTAGAGTCTAACTTTCCTATACTCCATAGTCCAATTCCTTATTTTTTTCTGTAGTTTAGTGGATTTCGAGCAAAGACTCTTGACAAAGAAAAGTAAATACAGAGGATAAAGATATAATGGACCGCCCAGAGGTCCTGCTCTAAAAAATTGAATGATATTGTAAAAGCCGGGGCCCGACACAGGTGACTTGGAACCAAGCTTTCGGCTTCGGGCAGAAAAGCAAAGGGGATTTGTTTTATGTGGGTCTGAAAAAACACAAGTTAAGCTTTCTTTTGGTCGACGTTTCAAAAAGGGGTTAGAGAAGACTTTGTAAAATTGTGCAAAAGTCAGGAGGGACTTCCTTTTCAAAAAGCCTAGAGAAGGACTCATGCCGGGCCCTAATTAGGGCCTTTTCTTCTTCCTAAGAAAATAGTTCCTCAACAGCAGATGTGTAGTAACCTAGGGAGGGACTTTGTTAGAGCATTTTGATGATTCTTGGGAGGGCTAATGTCAAACTATAGAGACGCCATTTGTACACTATGAAAGAGAAAAATATCGCAACATTTTTTAGTGAAGAAATATCACGTCGATTTTGATCATTATGTAAGCGACCCATTCTCAAACATCCTCCTCTATACTTTTTTCTTACTAGGCTATTGCGTCTTATTTTTTTCTGAGTGATAAAAATGATGACTTTTGTCCCCCAGGTGGCTTCTACATGAAAGCAAAGCCCCGCATGCAAGCGGTCTTCTGGCGTTCGATGCCTAATGTGAAGCGACGTAAGGCATAAACACAATCGCGTTCCTGAGCATTCCAGACTGATGAAATAATGCATATAGACAGATATATTGCTACTATCGATGCGGGTGGCCATAGCTGTGCAAAAATCGATTCCATAAAGCAGCTCTCAAAATCAGAATACGGAGAGGGGAGGGGGCAGTCTTCTTACAGTTTCTAAAATTCGAAATGGAGGCTTGGGAATCACTTCATCGCACTCAGAGACTGCACGCCGTTGCACTCGACCGAGATAGTATGTGTGTGGGAGAGACAGCAGACGATTAGGGAAATGGTAGTACTTTTCTTCTAAGAGACGCAGACAGCGTCCGCAGCGCGCCCCTTCCCTGCGTGCGTTGCGTCCATATTTTTCGACGTAATGCAAGATGTTTGGACAACATTTGTATACAAACGCTCCATTTTAACCAAGAATGCAAATAAATCTACATTTCCAGTATGGGTCACAACTAATTTTTAGTTTAAATTTTAAAAAAAGTATAGTCTAAGTGCCAGTCTGTGCCACCATGACTGATGCATTAGCGTGGACTAGGATAAGAGTCTGAAGAAAAAACATTTTGAGTGGGTTAGCCATTTTTTCTAAGCCCTCATCATAATGATTACAGGACAACTTTGACGTAATTTCTCTATACTTTAGCTGTATAGAAAATTAATTTGCACTTTGTCGGAGAATGACGCATGAGAAGCTTAGGATATATCAGATCGCGAGAAAGCTCAAATATAAGCTTTTTTCCATTCCCAGTACCATATATGGAAGCTAGAGCCGATGGTAGTGGGTGTCACTAATATGCACTTTCGGAATAATTGCTTCCGTGGCGGTTTTTAGATGCCACAGAACTCGGAATGATGGGCGCGGCATAGGCTATAGCATTTTTTAACAGTATATTTCATAGCCTAATTACATTGTTCTATTACGAAATGTTCTCTACTAAATTTTTATATACACTGCCAAGAATTAGGAGAAATACAGCAGCGTTGCATAATTAGTAGGGATTTCGATTTTTTTTTGAGTTTTTTCGATTTTTGGGTTTTTGGGGCACCACTGAGTGTATCACACACATATCAATAAATAAAGAAAAAATGCTTTTGTTAAAAAAATGGAATAGAGCAATGAAGCCAATCTTCTGCTCTTATAGAAAAGATCAACACACTGTACCCATTAGTGTAGGGTTAAGAAGCACAAAAGAGGGCCCGGCATGAGTCCTTTTCTAGGCTTTTTGAAAACGAAGTCCCCTGTGACTTTCGCAAAATTTTACAAAGTTTTCTTCTTTAACCCTTTTTGGAAACGGTGACTAAAAAACCCAACCTGACTCGTTTTTTTTTCGGACCCAGCGGAACGATATCTCCTTTGCTTTTTCACCTCGAAAACGAAGTCCACTGCTTCCAAATGATCTGTGCTGGGCCTTGCCACAAAACTGTACCGATACTACACTAATACGAACGCGAAAAACTAAAAATCATCTCCGAGATCTTTTCAAACAAAAGTAGATGCTCTAGAACCTTAGAGGAGGAAGAATATTGGAGTCGCATCCCACACCAATAAAATAAATCGTAAACACAAAAAATAAATTTTCGCGCGCGCTTCCGAACATCCGGTTTGGTTTTTTAGGGGGCAACCTGAACTTTCTGAAGCAATCTAGGGAATAGACGCGAGTTCAAGTTTTTAATGAACCGAGTACCGGTTGCTGGAGCTGGGACGTGAATTGTAAACTTACAGTGGAACGTAAAGTGTAAACAACTAGAAAAGTAAATTGCACTAAAATTCTAAAATTATATTAAAGCGATCATATGCACCATAAATTTTTGACAGAAGAAAAGAAAAAAGGGAGTGAATGCATTGAGAAATAGAAGAACACGGATCCACACTCATTACAATAAATTGAAGTGGACGGTAGGTGAAAAAGCAAATAAACTGAAGATACCAACCAGGAATTCAAGTACGAGAGCCTAAGCTCATCTATGGCAAGCTTATGCTTAGTTGTAAGTTCAATCCGAGGTCTGAGGAGATTGACTTGATCTTTGTAAAGAGTATTTATTGAATGCCAAATTTCTTATCGTCAAATGATATCTGACAAAGAAATCGCATTTATCTCCAGTAACCCGTTAGAAAAACCAGATCGTGGAAAGGTAAGTCCAATAAGAGAACATTAACGAAAGGTCAGACAAATAATCAAATCAAACTCTAAGTGATGTATGGACTTAGCCAGGAGATTAGTTGGCCTATTACGGCAAAAAGACTTCCTGCTTAGTCTCAAGATCAGTTCTCCAGGGAAGAGAAACAATTAGTTGAATGCATTAAGGTCGACATTTTCTTTGAGCGCTTTTTTATCAAATCATACATTGCAAGCAGAAACTCATTTAATTAGAAGTAGATTTGTTTAGTTCTTGGTTGAGCTTACCTTTGAGCTTTATCATTAGTGTTCACCAAGTTCCGCGGTCATTTGCAAAAGTCTGTATAAGGAATACATTAGCAGTTCTCATATTCTTCAAGAGCGTAATAAAGTTTTGCTGTAATGACTGACATATTGAAACATCTCAGACAAATGACCGGAACTTCCACAGAGCGCTTGCGGAAGTTTCGCCGGGTCACCTGCGGAAGTTCCGAAGAATGCGAACTACAACCGCAAAAGAGAACACCGAAGCAAGATTTGAACCTTACTCTATTGAATGTGAGACTTACTTACTATCCTTTGCACTATGACTGACATGTTCGATTATGCACTCTAGTTGGCGAGGCAACATCATATTAAACAAAACATCAAAGCCCTGCGAAAGTTCTGGCAGGCCAAAGTGCTGCGGAACCTCTGGCATTTTCCGGAAATTCCGTAGGATTTTGAATAAGGTCCTGCGGAAGTTCCGTCAACCAGTTTGGCATGAAAACCCCACGGAAGTTCCGATTTTCAACGTTTTCATTTTTTCAATAGTGAACAAAGTCCTGCGGAACTTTTGCAAATTTGGCTTGTTCTGCGGAAGTTCCGGTGATTTGTCTGAGATAGGGTTATGCCCATGAATAAATGAAATAAAAATAAAATATGTTAGCAAATTTGTCCGTATATTCTCGGGAATTCCTTGGAACTGAGATAAAAAAGAGTACATATGAGAAGCAGAGCCTTAGAATAATATACAGCGAGCGCTATGCTTTAATAAAACATGGTATGGAAGCAAGAAAAGTGCAACTTTTTCTATTTCTCGCAAAACTTTTTTGGTAGGTCTAATATAGTCAATTTTTTCAGAGCATTCTATATTCAAACGGAAATTCCACGTATCGCAAAAAATTGCTTGTATAAAAAAACCTGTTTGAGTTTGGCAGACTGACAAGGCTCGTAAAATTGCTTGGCGGCAAGCTTATTTTTTGAAAAGAGATTTATTTTTAGAGTCTGGCGGCTCGACAATCATTATAGTGTACTTGCGTCGCCAACGATACCTGCACGCGAAAAATGGTCAGCTGCCAAAACTTGGAAATATGCGTTAAACTGCCATGTACACGCACGTCGACAG